CTCGACCACTTTCTTCTATATTCGATCAACAAAAAATTATTGCTTTTACCTATGGCTTTAGGGAGTTGCTAGAATCATGGGTTACAACAACTAAAAACTTGAACAGCTTTTGAAGGTGACTTTATGTTGTGAACATTATAAATTTCTCAACAAAGTACTTTGCCAAAGCTATGTAGGACAAGCCACAAGTAATGTAATAAATATGTATAGAATATTTTTGTATTGCCATGACATTGTGCTTCCATTCACATTCTTTGATGCATTTGTTTGAAGCAAACTACATGCAAATTTTGAGTTGTCTCATTGGTTTTAAATTTTCTTTAGGAGAGTATACTTAAGCATCTTTGGAAGGCTAGAGAAGGGTGGAAGTTAGGTAAGAAGAAGAAAGGTTAGTGGAGAGACTTATTTATAAAAAAAATATATTTAGAGATTTATTTGTAAATATTTAATTTTAAATAAAATAATATTAAAATAAATGACGTGACATACTACGTATGAATACTGAATTAACTCGTCATTAGTCAGCTCAGCATTCAATAAAAAAGAGTTGATGGCAAAAACTAAATCATAACTTCTTAATTTTTCAGAGATTAAATCCTAATAAAAAAATTTATAAGAACTTATTACAAAATGTCTAATATTTATAGGATCAAAAACATAATTAAGTTCATTTTATTATTATTATTATTATTATTATTATTAAAAAGAGTTAAAAAATACTAAAAAATATTTTATCTTTATTTAAATGTTTTATATTTTTAAAAGTGATATTTTATTATTTTAATCTTTTACTACAAAAATTAACTTTCATTTTTTTTGTCTTAAAATTTTTATGAAAGAGATTTTATTTCTACTATTTAGATGTATGAAAAAATATTTTTCTTCTTATTATTTACTAAATAGTATTAAAATAAATCATATTCATGTTTTTTCATTCATGTTATTTTGACAAAAAAAAAATGAACAAAATTGAGTGTTGACATTCAATCAGGTAGAACTAGTTCTATTTCCTTTGGTGAGTTATAATAACAAGGTAAATTAATACGTATGTGAGTGATATATTTATAAGTTAAATTAAGTAAATATATTATATAATATTATTATATTAACAAGAGAAGAGCAAAATACATTAATTGGGATCATACGAAGAAATAGAATTTGCAGAATCATCATCTGAAAAAAATTCATGCAATGAAGATTCTCTCTAAATGTTAAACACAGTAGTTTCACCTCCCATTGCCATCTAGGAGGGATATTGGTATGTGAGCCATGGAAACTCTTGGAAAGGGACATAATACATGTCATGTTGTCATGGTCGAAGTGTTGGAAGACTAAGTTCTTCCCTAATTTTACATTATTGACCATGTTGTAAACCTTCTCGCTCAACTAGATCAGTTGGCATATCTACTTCATGAGAAATGTTCTAGGTGGGGTCAAGTTTGAGAGTTTTGCCTCAATAATAGAACCTTATGTGCCATCACTAACATGTTTTATATACTTCTTGGTTGATTATGTCAAATAAACTCACATTTGGCCTTAATAATAACAATCCCTTTTTAGATGTAAAAATATGTATTCTATCAACTTTATCCACCTACAAGTTGAAATAAATGTATGTTAGCTATGAAACATAATTGTATTGTTTAGAGTTTAAACTTTAAAAAATGTTATTTCAACAATAACTTATCATGTGTCCTTTAAAAACATATTGTCAAGTAATCCAATGTCATGTGTGTTTTATATATTACCTTATATAGTAAAAATTTTCACTTAGTAACCCTTTGTGGAAGGTTCATAACCATAAATTCTACTCTACGATTCCATTTGTCAACATACAGTTGATAAATTTTGCATCAATATTTATTAGTCTTTCTCCTAAGTATTATATCATGTATATTTTCATTTTGTCTTGACTCAATAGGAATATGTGTTTCATAGGCTTATGCCAATTAACAATTTAGAAGCAAAAAAGTGGCACCATTGCTCTTCAAGTGTCCATTTCATTTAAGTATATTCGAGATAGGAAGAAATCACATTTGGATTGTACAACTCTCATGTAATTTGCAGAAAATTTCAAATAAATTACATTATTAAATAAATAAGCTAATCAATTAAAAAAATATATAAACTTCATCTTTCTTCATCATCTAAAAAATATGCAATAAAATGCTAGATCTTTTGTCATGGTTTTAAAGGAATAATTTCACAACCATCTATAACAAAATGATCACAGTCAATTAATAATTATTTAAAATTCAATATTTAACTTAAACATATGATAACTTTATTATTACAAAAATATTATTGACTCCATATGGTTACCCTTGGTGCAAGATCCAAGGATTAATTGTGTTAGACTGCAAATTTCCTTGTTCTCATAATTTGTTGTCACACATAATTGTAAATATAGATTTGCAAGGATAGCTGAACACCAACTATATTAATAAACGAAGATACCTCAAAAGTAGTGGTCCAAAAAAATCACACATCCACTTAATCTTAGAATGTGTGTTACATATATCTTTCTAATCGTATTTCGCTATAATTGTTTATATTACCAAGATAATGTAACAATCATCTCCTCTTCAATGATCCAATATACAATTCTTCTTTAGGAGATGATATTCCCAAAAATTCTTCAATAAGAGTATACCATATTTCACATGTTATATTTTCAATTATTGGTTAACCCTCAATACATAGACCACTTTGAATAACAATATCTTACGGTGTAATTTTACACTTTCTTAGAGATAAGTAAAGAGTGTGTGTCTAGAAAAATATTTTTATAAGATTCAATGTTTTCTCTATTTTTTTCTATTTTGTTGTACCTTTTAGTATTTTTACATTTTATGTATTTATCATGTTTTGGTCAATCACTTGATTGTGTAATAACAGAATATTAAAGGTGATAACCTCATATTAATTAAGATTTAATTAATATATTTTTTTATCATTTAAAAATTAACTAGCATTGAAAGTTATTGTACAATGTCCTTTTTGTATTTGTGTGGATGTAACATTATACTTGAGCGATTTATGTTTTGAATTCTAGATGAGTTTAGTTGAATAGATCTCAAAAAAATTATGAAATAGACATATAATTTGTATAAATTAGAGTTCTATGTAAAATGTTATGACCTTAAAAGTTTAAGACCAAAAAATCTAAGTATGACTGCGCTAAACTTGGGCACATCTTAGGCTATAAGTCATGTTATACTTGAGCGACTTATGCTTTGTTTTCATATGAGCACATTTCATATTAATGTTAGCATGATCGTGTTGTAAGATATACTATTCTTTAACGACTTATTATCTTTTTACTAACTTGAGTACGATTGTATTAGAATAAAATTATATATTTTAAGACTTTCTAAAAAAAATGTATTTAATTTTTTTTCATTTTATTTATACATAAAGGCCCTATAACTAAGTCACATGGTAGAGGTGAGAAATTAATTATGTGGGTCTATAGACAAAACTATCAAACTGATATTTTTTTTTTCTCACAAAAATCACTTTCTTAAAATTCTTTCCCTGCAAAATCGGTGCAGACAAATAGAGCGGTAAACTAACTATTATTGAAGTTAAACATTCTCACTGTTAGAACTCATAATTTGATGATAATATTAAAATTATGATATTAGCATGTTTTAGTTAATTTTATTTTTAATTTGGGTATAATAATTTATTTGCCCAAATATTAGAGAGTCAATGGTTTCCATAAATCCTAAATATCAAATTGTGTCTCCAAATTGAATGAATCTTTAGATTGAGTGTAGGAGGCTTCTTGGGTGTACATATTGGTCCTGCTTCTAGCTCCTACTGGTCTCCAAGTTTCAGTTACAAGTTTTCTACAATCTTTTGTTTGGTCGTAATATTCTACTATTGTATAGGTATAGCTAGCCATGGGGCGTTCCTGAGTATTGACATTGTATGTGTCTATATTTTCCCTCATTTTTTTGACAAGTGCTACGAGCTTATTACTTATTTTAACCAATTTATTATTTTTAAAAAAGTTAAATAGTCATTATTTTTGTGGTTAACTTTACTATTAACTCAAAAAATGATAGTATGATTGCATTTCTTTTATTATTTTGTGAAGCTATACTAATAATTTTATATAAATGCTAATTGTTATGAAAAAAAAATAAATTAGGCATTCTGTACGAGTGAACAATTTCCTATTAACACATAATAAAAAACACTAAATAAATTACCAACTACTAAATCAAAAACATTAACTTTACTTTTGATTATTCAATCACACTTTATGTAAAACAGGTCTATGTAGAGAAATGTTACTTTAACAACTAAAATGGATGTATGGTGTAAACACCTATTTTAAGTGTTAAAATAGCATTTCTCGTCTTTAAGGCATGTTTATTTTACAGTTAAAGAATCAATTTCTATCACTTTTTAATATATATATATATATATATATATATATATATATATATATATATATTAATAGAAAAATGTGACTATTAATTTACGTATGCATTTTAATCACACAATAAATCAAAATCAATTTTATCAAAATTAATTTTACTAAACTTTAAACCAAACGAAGACTTAATAATGTAGAATAACTTTATCAATTGGATTATAGAGCAACATACGATTAAATGATAATATAAAAAAATGTACAGTAATAATGAATTAAAACAATTTAATATGCAGCGGCATAATTGATTCTTTATTAAAAATTACATTAAATTATTTTTAAAAATAAAAGGAAAAAAAAAAAAAAACCCTTTTAGTTGGTATGCAACCGTTGGTCTAGGTGGTCTTGACCAAGAGAATGGAAGAAAGGGGTAGAAATTTCTGATATCTCAGTTCAAAGTATGATGATGTAACCAAATTAAGGCAAGCATTTTGTTCACCCGCCATAAGGAGATCAGTACTCAAATTTCTTATAAAAGCAATTACTGTTAGTAACATTTGCTTTGATAAAATTGCATTTGACATTATTTTATATCCCTTGACATATAATCTAAGAACCAGTACGTGAAAGGGCTCGCTAACTAGTAGTTCTGCAATAATGACTTTTGAGAATATTTCCTAGTCTAGGTCAAATGCAACTTTTATATATGGACCCTAATGGTCCACTCATAAAATTCAAGGTAATTAAGATAGTAAACCGTAATTAGAGGCTAAAATGATGATTTTGTAGCCTTGCAATGGAATTAATATCTGGAGCAAGCAAAAAGAAAGTAAAAAAACTACAATGCCGGAATTTGAAGATATCTCCTCTCATACAAACCAATTATTTGATCAGCCACAGCCCACATAATGGCCTGTCCAGGTGGGATCCTCATGAGCCGAGGCAACAGACCTTTCCACAAGGCAAGAAGTCCTTCTTCAGAATATATTGTTCTGATGGCATGGATCATACCCTTGTATTTGCGTTCACCCCCCTCTCGGCTCTGGGCCATCAACCTTGTTTTCACTACATCAAATGGACCAGTGCAAATAGGACCTGCTGTACCTGCAAGGAATCCAGAAATCATAGATTGCCATGGTTGGAGGACTTTCCCATCTCCTTCATGTTTCTTCCATAAAAGCACATCGAAAGCATTTTTGGCAGTGAACATGGCAGATTGATTTGTCCCATTACGCATTACAGTAGGAGCAACTCCTGCCCAAAGCCCACGAAAGCCGTCTTCCCTGATAATCATTCGAGCACAATGAATAGGACCTTTATATTTCAAAAACTCAGGGCTAAGACCTTTCTGCTGCTGCAATCTTATCTTCACCACCTGCAATAAGACATAATGAAAGCATGAACCTCCACATGTCAAAAACAAAATATGCACAGATGTAGGCGATGTTAGGTATGTTATGTTCTGAATAGCCTTACTATTTGGTAACTTTTATAGTTATAATAATAAAATGTGATTCATCAGAGTAATCACTTTAGGCAACTAGAAAGCAAGCAAGCAGCATGTCAAACTAGATGAACTTGATTCAAGTTTCAACAAGTTTGTTTTACAGATTTGTAAAAATCTTAAGATAATTAATGATCAAAGTTTTCTTCTAGTTCTCACCCCATCAAGGGTATAAATTTCCCTTTTCATTCTCCTTCTCCCAGCTAGTATCCATAAACAAAAGTCAGAACCAGACCATTCATCTCATATTTCATTTCCAAAGTACAAACATTTCATCAGTTTTTACTAGATTTGTAAAGCATAGCCAATAATTAACTTGGCTTGGCATTAGCGAGAAACTTTATCTTGGCAAAATCTCCATGTATCCTGGAGGAGTACGTTTAATAAGATATGTGATGGGAACCGAGATTCAAAGGGGTAAGGAAAGGATACATTGATGGATCCAAGGCAGTTATTATAGGACCCAGCATATACGACTAAATATGTGTAGTAGGCTGCTGTGGGAAGTTATGTGTGTTGTTTCCTAGTGGTTTGGACAGAGAACTCATCTCCATGGGAGCCTATGACACTGAGACAGCAATTATTACTGCATTGTGTGTAATGTGTGATTTAAACATACAATTCGCCAATCTATCAATTGGTGCTACATCAATATGTAGCATAAATTATATATTCAGGTCCTACAACTTGGTTATTCCAAATACCACAAACCTCCCCCACCTGAATAAAATGATTAGCTAAACTAACATTAAGAAGTACTTGAATATCAGAGTAAAAATATTTACAAAAGAATACTACAGCATAACAGGAATCCTTGAATAAACAAAATGCTAAAAACAAGTCAAGAAGATACTTTTTCAAGAGCTAGACTGCTTAGTTAACGGGACAAATAGTGACATTGGTCAATTAATTTAACATAACGACAAAGAATTGAATCAAAGCATAAATATAATTAAATAATGTCATACCAGTAAATATCAGACTTGAAATAAATAAACATTTTAAACTTGTATAATTAGTATTACTAGAAAGCAGAAAGCCAAACGCAGGTAGTTTAGTCAACATAGCATGAGCAGAAAAATTTAGGTTGAAGGGCAGTGTTGAGGATGTAAACTTTCACTTGTAAAGTTTAAATTTAAATTAAGCATAAAAAGTATTTCAAAATCTCAATGGGCTATGGCTTCTTTAAATTCTCAGTTTAATACAGTAGTGACAAATTCAAAGAATGCAACCAATTTAGTTCAGAAGATAACATTCCTATGGAATGTGAATGCATTTTTCCTCATGAATTGTTTTTTCCTGATTATTTCATAGAGTTGATATGCAACTTAATTATAGGCCATAAGCACTAGAATAATTACTGATTGCATATCAAACAATCAAATGCTCAAACCTCAAATGGTGTGACAATAATGACAGCCTCGAGCACCCCAGCACCAAATCCAGAAAGGAGCCGCCCATGACTGCTAAGCTTCCCAGTCTCGGGGTCCTTAAACACTGATTGAAGTACTGCATTTGAACCCATTCGAAGGGCATACTTCAAAGTCAAATGTGTGGCAAAAGGTGTCAATCCCTTCCATAAAGCCCGTACCCCTTCAGTTCTTGAAATTGTGGCACCACAATGTAGTATTCCCTTGTAATTCCCTGACCTATCAAGCTGCAATCTGGTCTTGATCACATCAATAGGTTGCAGGCAAGAAGCCTCCACAATACCTCCAAGCGAACCAGAGACTGCCTTCATGTAGGGTGGAATTGATTTCTTTGGATGTGAGTTGGTGTTATCTTGTGCAACATCCTGTTTCATGATTGAAGGAGGTTTAATTTGTTCTCCTTCAAGCTTCAATAGATATATGGCAATGTAAGTAAACAAGCAAGATAATCAATAGTGACGATTGTTACTACATGTTTTTTGGAAACTGAAAAGTAAGAACCATTGGGCTTACCTTTTCGTTTCACAAAAGTTCTTTGTATGACCCAATAAGTTGCAAAAATTTGAAAAGCATCATGTGTTTACCAATATAACAAAATAACCATGAAAAATGGTGCAAGTTTTAAAAATTAACGTAAGAAGGAGAACATACTTTTCAATCCCAAGCACAAGCAGCACTCTCTTCCCAAAATGGTACACGTAACCTCTTCCCTAAATGAAATATGAAAATCCCACAAAGTGATAATAAGAAGAATGGAAGAAGAAATTAAATCTGATCAGGAACTCATGCATATGCACAAATATGGGGCTTCATTGAACAATCTCGTGAAAAAACAAATTTAAGAAACATCTAGGAATACAGAGACAATAGCCAACAACTCAAACATAACAACTAGGACTTCAATCATACCAATGATATATTTAAGCATCAGCATATCACTAAGGAAATATCAGAGTTGATATTTTGTAATAAATACTGTCTACTTATTTAATTAGGATAGCCAGAAGTCAGGATGTATAAGATCAAGTCAGCATTACTTTAACAGGCAAAAAAATTGGATTTTGAATTCAGGATGATGAATTTCCACTTCTCAAGGCTTAATATGAAGTCAATAACAAGCAAAAAAAGTATTTCCAAATCTCAATTGATCATTGTTATCTTAAATTTTCATAAAGCATTAAAAACCTAAATAATTGTTCAGCCACAACCAGCACCTAATGTCCCAAAACAAACCAAATCAGCAGCAAATAATGTTACCTATTTATTCTAGAAGAAAAACAGTATTGTGGCATAAGATGTATTTTTTCACTTCTTACGAAAACAAACGAAATAAACTGCTCAATTTTCAATTGGCATGGCAATAACAAGCCTCAACCACTTCACAATAAAACTAAAAAATGATCATTCCATGCCTGAAGAGCATCCCAGTCTCCATAGGCATGGCAATAGGGAAGACCAGTATACCACCACAGCTTGCCCCTTAAAGGTCACATACATTCCACTTTACGGATCTTATTCAAATATTTGGTTATGCCCAGAGGAACACTTGGAATGTCTTCTCCACAAGAGAAGGTAACATCATTCCTTTACTTAAAAACCAACCAACACATTATACACAAAAAGTACAGTGGAAAATAGATGAATTTTAGATTGGATTACGATGAATGTGTATGCAAATTAAAAGTTTATCAAGAAATTTTAAATAATTATGAATCATATGATGAGGAACAGGTATCTAACACATTTATTAGGTTATTTTAAATTAATGAATTGACCTCTAATTTTTTTAAAATCTATCATTAAAAAAAATAAAGTTGCATTTATTTAGGCTCAAAGAGAATCAACCTAACTCAAAAAGCCAAACCATTTAGGGGCAAACACTGAAAACAAAAAAGAACGAAAATATTTAGGCAATGTCATATTTTGAATGACCCATCAACAAGAAGTCACGAATCCAGTAATCCAACACAGACCCAATAAGCTATTGTCTACGATAAAAACTATGTCCATAAAAGGATCCAACATTTACGAATTGCTTAGAGGAAAGGATTACAAGTTCAAAGTGAAGATTCCCTAAGCACAGACCAAGAGGCTTATCATCTCCACATGCAGAACAATTTAAATCTTAAAATCCAAAGCCGTAAAGAATCATTTAAGCTCTTGAACATGTGCCTCTCCTAAGGGATGCATGACGAGGTTTCATAGATATAACAGAGAACCAGAAATTTAACAGAAATACAATGATAGAAAAAGAAGAAGAAGAAGCTCACAGTGAGTATTGGATCGCGTCTTGGGACAGCGTCGCGATAGGATGCGGAAGATGTAGAATCGCGTCGCCTGCGCCCGCACGACGCTCAATTTCAGAACTTGGGTTATATGCTTCACGTGTTAGAACGGCTACCAACTGTATTGTCTTTTACTATATACAAATAAAATGAAAGAGGATGTGTCATTGAATAGTAATATATAATTTAATTTCATTAAAGTAGAAAAAATTATAAATATTATCAGAGTTAATTTTACTCAAAATTAAAATTTTATTGAGCACTGTATACTAACTTTTAATATTAGTATGCTAGTTTTTAATATTGATCTTTATATTATACAATTAAAATTTTAAATTTAATTTAAAATAAATAAAAAACACTAATATTATTTAAAGTATGTTTCATCCTTAAAATACCTTAAACCTTATGGTACCTTTTACGGTAAAAATTTATATTTATGTGAAAATTGAATAGTCTAATTCTACTTTTGCTTAAATAAATATTAAATTTTTTACAAAAATTGTGAAACTAAGAAAAGAGAAAAATGAGTATGTGAGATAGATAAGGGGGAGGAGGGAGAGGAACTGGAGAGTGAAGAGCAAAACTAAGAGGAAGAGGAAGGGAGTTTGGAAAAAGAAAAGTAAGAGAGGTAAGAAAGGAGAGGGAAGGAAGGTTAGATAACCATGTGAGTGGGAGAAGGAGGAGAAAATTGAGAGAGATAAGCTAAAAAAGAAAATTTTATTTTTACTTAAATAAATAGTAAGTTTATTTAAATTGAATCGTCTTATATATGAGTTAAAGTGAATTTATATTTTTAAATTAAACTACTAATCTAATATTATTTGGTAATCGTTGAGAAATATTTTTTGTTGACAAATGGTGTTTTAGTTTCATTTTCAAATGCTATTTATGTAGTTAATTTTTTAATCAATCAAGAAAAAAAAAAAAGAGAGAAAATTTGCTTTATTTTTTTAAAATACATTTTTCAATAGAAAGAAATATCATTTTTTGATGCATTTTATCTTTTAATTTTTTACTGAAAATAAGTACCACAACTAGTATTGCATACCGAAATAAAATTAATCGACATGTGTGCAGTAAGTATAGTTTTTACAGTAAGATATTTAAAATGAAATGAGAAAAAAAAAAATCTAACCAGAAAAATATAGTTTGATTATACTTTTGTAACAAGAACATCATATCTGACCTGGAGTTCTAGCCTATGAGTTTAGGCTTAACCTTTGCATCATTTATGCACCAATTTCATCCTTACAATGGGTTTGGATTATATACTCTTTTCAGCGTGATGTCATTTGCCATTCACACCGACTTATTAAGGTCACACTAAAAATAAGTCACACTGTTTAATAAAACTTATGGAATAATTTTTTTAAAGTTTTATTAACCACTTAAAATTGAGTAAAACATTTACAAATAAATTTTTTTTATAAATAAGTATATAGTTATTATATTAAAATTATAAAATATAATAAATATTTTTTTAATAAAATTTTACTATTATTACCTGCTTATCTTTAATCTTTAGGGTTAAAGTTAATAACTTTTTTTAAAGTCTACTTTAACTTGATTTAATAGATTTAATTTAAAATTTTTGAAAGACTTAATTAATCAAATAAGTCATACTTAAATTTAAAAAAAAATGTTACACATATTAAAATAACTTATTTAAAATTCATAAAATTAATAATAATATATTAAATAATTTTATATAAAAATAATATAATATTATATTCTATTAAATAAATAAATTTTAAAATGAATAAAATTTTAAATTAGAAACTCTAATCCATTAGAGTTAAAAAGTGTCACTATTACGTACCTTTCAAGAAAAAAATTTGATTGTTGTTTTATCTATCTTATACACATAATGCTGATTTATATTTGCATTGTTTTAATATATCACTAGTTCGTCTCATTTATTATCTTTATACATACTTGTTTATATCATGTGTAACTTTTTTTTTAAACTTTTTTTTAGGTTAACAAAATATTTTCTCTAATTGACAGTAATAAATTAATTTTTTTATTTGAAAGTCTCAATATAAAATAGGTTATTAAAAAAAATTATATTTTAAAATACTTTTAAAAATATTAGATTAGACTTTATTTAAATGGGTTTAATCTATTTAATAATTTTGAAGTTTTAAGACTTTTTATTTGTTACAAATTTTTTTGTTAAATCTAGCTTGACCTTTTTAAAAATTTAATTTTTATAAAAATTATATTTATATTTATAAAATTTTTATATAACTTTATATAAAATTTTAAAATTTATAAATATTGATATTATATTTATAAAATTCTTAATACTTAATTTATTATTTGTAGTACTCTCAATCAAATTTTTCAATATATATATATATGAAAAAGAATCTTTTCATATTAGTGTAAGTTTAAAAATTTTTACACTCAATTCAAACTTTTTATTTAATTTATATCTAACGGTTAATAAAATGATAAATTATAACTCGTTAAATATAAGTTAAATGAAAGATTTAAATCAAATGTAAGACACTAATGCAAGAAGATTTTGCCCTTTTAAAATATGAAATCCTTGCATAACTATCAAAAGAATTATTTTTTTAAAAATATTTAATTTTTTTATTTTACAAAAATATCTCTTTAAGTTATGTAACAATATAGTACTGCATTTATTTTTTAATTATATAAATTATTTTTAATATTTTATGTAATGATATGAATTATGAAATGTCAATGTGCCATAAAGATCATTGAACCGGCAAAGAGATGGTATTTGATCTAATTTAAATTTATTTTTTTGGTCAACGATCTAATTTATTTTAAACTTCTCTCTTTCTTTTAAAAAAATGCAATAAATGTTTGAAAAAAAAACTTTTAAAAATTATGTTTTTTATAATGAAGAAAAATTAAAGAAAAAAGAAGCTATTAAAAAACTAGTTTTAAAAGCATTACTACTCTAATCTTCATTCTCATTATTTATTTTAAAGATTAAGATTTAACACATCGCTCAAAAACTATGATCTTAAGAGTAACTATTAAACTTCAAAAAAATTTAAATTCTTATTTGTAATTTATAACTTTAAAGTAAATTATAAACTAAAAAAAAAAAAAAAAAAGCCCAACTACACTTAAGTTACGATTCTCAAGAAAAGGTATAATAATAATTCATAATATAAATCACTAACCTGAACATTTTCCAAATTCAACCGTGTGTATTTCACCATCTCTGGCAACAACTCTTTTCAACGTTGGAATGCTGAATGAGTCTGTTAGGTTTTAGCACAACGAAGAGACATCCATTTCTAATAAAAGAATATAAAACGAGAAGGCAAACTTTTAGGTAGAATAAATTTGCCTTATTATATTTTGACGAAAAGGTGTGTATGCACTTTTGTCATCATCTTTGTAGCATAAAATAACAAACGAATTTATTAATAATATCTCCATGCATGAGAATAAGCCAGAGACAATGACTTCATTAGTATACGCTTAGAAACACGTTAGACATAGATTTAATATAAAATTACAAACACGGAATATTCTTCCTTGGGAATTAAACTCAGAACTACGTGGAAATTTGATTGAAATATCAATGAAAGCAGAGTGAATTGAAAAAGAATCACTCAGCCACTCAAAGTGATGAACTCACAAAGAGCCTCAACTTGCATCTTGTGTCAATTGAATAAAGTTTATATAATTTATAATAAAAAAAAATGATATGTGACATTCTTCAAAATGGCACTGTTGCTATGGTAATGAAACATGCTTTTATACTTGACAATACCAGCTATTGTGCTCCTATCTAATTCAACTATTTCAGCCATTTTCTTATGTGTTTGAGAAACTATAAGTATTTCGGGAATTTAATTGTCTAATCCTCAAAACATAGCTTGAATTAATAATTCATAGTTACTCTCAATGTCTTCCTATTCATGTGTACATATTACCTTTTTGTGCTACAAATGCTGTACTAATTTTTGTAAAAGTTCCATCTGCTCCTTACTGAACAGATTCGTTTTTAATCATATAGGCCCATGACTTTTCAATTGAAGGATAACGAGAAGAAACAAAACTTGAGAAAGTTTAAATATTTGAGAGAACGTTATAATATTTGATTTAGATATTTAAAATTATTTGGAGTGTTTATTTTAATTTTTTGAAATAAAATAATTTGATGATACTTTTTTATTTTAAAGTTTAACGTGCTTAAAATACTGTAAAGTATATTAATTTTTTTTTTTATTTTAGATATTGTAATGTAGATTGTCTGCACAAGTATGTATCCCTAGAGAGTCAAATTTAAAAATTCAAATTGTTCCAGACTCTTAGCTCAATCCACATTAACCTCAATTTGTATGAATAATTTTTTAACAAAATGTTTCAGAAAGACTTGGATAACTTCGTGTACATTTGGATGAGTATTAGAAACTCTTAACCTCAAGTTTGAAGATACAAAAGTGATTTGAAATTTTTGCCAACATGTTTGACAATTCTATGATAGAATTGATTTTGCATCTAATCTTAAGTTTGAGTTAATTTTTGCATTAACTTAAAAAAAAATATTGAGTATTGTTACAAACTTAATTTTAAATAAAAACTTTCCAAACATAGATTACATCGTTTTAAACTCTCTTTAAAATATAATCATTTCTACGCAATCAAATTTGTTCAAACTTAAAGTTTACAAATATTCATCCAAATACACACTTCAAGAGAGTGGTGAATTGGAGTCACGCAAGGTCCTTGGAATGGGGCATCATTTCCCCTCCTTCTAAATAAAATAATAATAATTATTATTATTAGACTTATTTAAAATAAGACAGTGTATGAATTGAGTTAATATTAAGCATTGATCTAAATTTATCTACGAACTGATTATGTAAATAGAACTTTAAATATGAATTGGTTATTTAAAAAAAAAATTAGTTCTACTTAAAGATAAAAATAGGTTAGATTGTCTAATATAAGGTTACAATTTAATCTTTTTAAAGTCTAACTTGACTTGAATTATTTAAGTAATAGATTTAGTTTATTTTTAAAGAAAAATTAATTAATTAAATATATTAAAATTAAGTTTAAGAAAAAGCTTATTGAATTTGATAAAATAACCTATTTAAGATTCATA